ACGCGAAGGGCATCTCTCGGGGCGGCGTGCGTAATCCGGTTAATCCAACGTGACACAAGAGAGACGTGCGGCGCGGTTTAGCCGCGCAACAGGTGGTCGTCAAAGGTAAACACTCGCGGATGCATTCGTATATATAATATATACGGGGCGCACCGCGCGCACAGCACAGCCACAGATTTGTCGCACGACGCGCGCTCGCGTCTCGAAAAACTCCGTCCAACGCTCCCACTCGCGGCGTTTTCACATTGACTCACAAACGCTTCCCGTATAAGAAGCCACCGCAAGCCACCCGCAAGCCACCGTCGGGGAACACTACGGATTCGAGGCGGTTCCGCGGCGGAACGATTCGCCTCCGTCAGCCTCTGTCGCGCCGACCAACACTGAACAGTGGTGAACAGTTCCCTCGGTATTCCGCGCGCGCGAACGGTATTCTCCACTGCGAATGGCCGCGCGAGGAACGTCGCGCGGTGAGAGTTTCAGCAGCGGGAACGTGAAGCGGCTACGAACGCGCGGCGCGCAATCACGACGACATTTTACACCGGCAGCCGGCGAGTGACTGACTTGACTGCAAACAGTGCGAACTGACTGACACTGGCGGCAACCACCGGCTCGCGCTCCACCATCGGCTCCGACTCCAAACTCTCTGGCTTGGTTTGGTACTCGGGATAATCAACCTCGCAAGGGATCGTCCTACATTGCAAAAGTGTTATCCAAAAATTAACATTCAAAGTCGAAAAATCACTTTAATATAGATATTTTGGATGGTCAGATATCTTGGGATTCTATGGATTTTGTACCCGACTTGGCTGGAACATGTTTGACCATTTTAACTTATTGTTAGACACAAAATACATCGGAAAACAATGTTTTTGAAAAAAAAGTTTCAAATAAGTTGTAGGATTTGAAGAGGACTGTAGCCTACTTGGGCTCAATATAAGACCTTGAACCAAAAATCTAAGTATCTCATCTGATGGTCTTCTTCAAATCCTACAACTTTTATTTGAAATATTTTTTTCGAAAATGCATTATTCTTGAGATATTTTGTGTCTAATTGTTAAAATGGCCAAACATGTTCCGGTTCAAGTTGGATAGAATACAGAATCCATTATAGAATCTTAAGATTTAACCGTCTATAATTTCAAACGTCATCTCTTGAACGTTTGTTACCAACTTGATATCACTTTTGCAATTAATATGTTCCCTTATAAATCTGAACTAAAATATCCTATACATGCAGCACACTTTGGGTCAATTTTTTTATAGCTAAATTAGTGTAGGGACTCTTCCCAATATAAGCAACATTTGGAACATTGCTGCAATGTTACTGAAATGTTTTAAAATATCTTACTGGATTTGTACTTAAAATGAAATAGATATATATATTTAAAATTTGACGAAAGCAAGAAGAAAAGTTCTAGTGCAATCCTAGTATGTTCCTAAGATATTTCTCAAGTAAAAAATTTGTTTTCTATTGCTACACTGGATTGCACTAGAACTTTTCTAGGGATGTCTCTTGGAGGTGTTATATGGGATAATAAACGGCATTCTTCAACGTCGAAATTATCTTTGTTTCTAATAAACTAATATGCTAATTGTACGAGTAAATCTTTACGTCGGCTTGTGTACAACGGCTTTTAAGTGCACTTTAAAATATTAAACTATAAGAAATTGCAAAAATAAATATTAATATTAATATATATATATATATTTGTATATTCAAGTCTCACATGAAAAACTGCTCTTTTGTTTCCAAAGCATACTACATTTGTTTACTGTTCGAACTTCAAACTTCAGACATAACGAATTGACATTTCATACTGATCACTGCTAAAGTTCGAACTGTTCGAACTGTCCGAAATATTCGAATTAGATGCTCATTTTTTTCAACTTCGAACTATTCGAATAGATCGAACATTCAACACGTTCGGATCTTTTGTTTGAGCTCTAGTATTATTATCGATTGACAATCTCTCTCGTATCCCTTATCTGTTTCTAATATCCTACAATATTTCGTATCCCTCCCAACAACACAAAAGTTGCAGCAACAATGCTGTAACATTGCAGCAATATTGCATGTTGTAGCAATATTGCAGTGATATTGCTGCAAATTCTGTGCTGTATGGGCCTTATCTGTTTCTAATAATTCTAATATCCTTAAATATATTTTAAGTTAAATTTTGTTCTTGCTTTTATATAGTTTTATATATGATATCTTTTTGAAATTATGCGCCTGTAATTATGATTCCTCATTCGAAATGTTGTATTCGACCAGTTAAAATCGTGATTAATAAACAAGATATATAGCTACACGCGGCGATTTAAATTCAAATTCAAATTCTTAAAATAGAACGAGCACTTAATTCGAGGATTTGACTTCTTAATTGTAGAGAACCTCAGAGAGAGAGAAAGAGAGAGAGTGACAAACTGATTACGTGAATAGAGTTGCAATACCGGCCACGTCCAATCAGGACGGGAGCACGTAACCAGTTTCTTCAATCTTTTCCATGCCTATGGAGTTTTGATGACCGCGCCCAATCAGAGGAGAAGCAGTTTGCCACTCTTTCCCTCTGAGACTCTCTACTTAATAGTATATTTAATTTTACGGAAAATTATATTCATTTTTCAGTGTCACAAGATTTCATAAAATTACATAGTTTATATAATAACGCTTTTTAGGCTTTCACGGGTATTATCTTCAAAGATACCAGAAGGTTTACGGGTTATCGCCGTATTTTCATCCATTACTAATGCATTAGCAATAATAGTTAAAAACACGGCGATAACCCGCAAACTTTCTGGTATGTTTCTGTAATGAAATGAAATTAAATCGACTATTCAAGAAAAAGAAAACGCAACTAAATATAAGTCCATATCACAGACGTATTAGAGATTTCCAGTAATCGAGAATGGATTGAAATGGATTGAAATGGATTCAAATTTTCAGAAATACGCATTCGCGAATATTAAAATAAATCCTTTTTAATCCGGAATGCATTTTTATTCATTTATAAAAATTACATGAAGCATATTTCTTTTAATGTAAAAATAATATCAGCTTTTTCTCTACGTACATTGCTCAATTCACAATTCTGAATAGGAAATGCAATTTTTGAATCCAATTGAATTTAATTGAATCTATAATTGAATCCACTTGAATTTGAATGGAATCCAATTGGATCCAATTGAATAAAAAAAAATGTTTTCGCTATTTATGGCCGTATTCATAGGCAGGTATTCATAGTCAGATCTTATATTCAAGACCGTCTTAAGTACAGTCTTAAGAAGTCACGAACCAATCAGAGGGCTGCATTAGCGTCTTAAGACATTACTTAAGACGGTCTTGAAATAAGAACCGACTATGAATACCGGCCATAGACAACCTTATATTTAAGGTTTCCTTAAATACAAAGTCTGACTATACGTAAATATAGGCATTAAAATACGCATTCAGATAAATAAAATTTCAATCTATTCTCGTTTATTTAGTTAACGATTGCAAATTGAAAATTTGACAAATTTAGTAATTTTTATCCGTTTCATTTTAATTGATTAAATTTTAATTTTTAATTTGTAATCTTTAATTTCGAACGTAGTTTGATACATGCTTTAAAAAGACAGAAATCCGGTGTAAGCGTAATGTATTGCATTTAATTCAAACAATATTTTTTCTCTCCATTGTAACAAAATATCGCCTCTAATATAACTATCAATAATGGCAATGCTAAAAAATCATTTAGAAATCTGTGAATGTTGTGAAATCGCATGGTCAGTAAAGTAATCGGAGTAGAGCCGTTATATTATGGTATAAGGCCCGCATGCGCGTTAGCAGCCAATGAACACGTTCAACGACCTTAAGCCCTACATACAATGGAAGAAATATTAGAACCGGAACAAATATATATTATTAAATATTAGAAAAATAAAAAATTAGAAATAGGGATTAAACATGACGTACATTGGATATAAATAAGACATAACATTTAATATTTATTTCTGTTCCTAATATCTCTTTCATAGGAACCTAGCTAATATTACATTTATCGTACGATCGACTTCTGTGAATAGCATCTAATTGTCCACGTCGCTAATTGGCCAATTCAACACAGGACTTTTCGATTGGTTGGTCCAGTAAAAAAATTACAAGCCATTGGCTGTGAATAGATATTCATATGTTCAAAAGAGATACTACCGCTACAAAAGTATTGTTAATTGGAACATATATAATAAACCGTCTCGTGTATTAATAATAAATAGAAAGTCTCATATTTTTAATTTTTCAAGGTGCTGTAATCACCAACCAATCAGAATCTCTAAACAAAGATAACTAGTTACTGACCACCTATGTACAGCTTTGGCCAAAAGTATAAAGCACCCTTACGAATTAACGTAAACATTCTATATTTAACAAAAACAAATTTTTTAAACAAATATATTAAAAAATATTATTTATTTTTATGACAATTTTAACATTTTGTTGTTTTTTTTGGGATTTTATTATTGTTTCCAAGAAAATGCAATAAGTTGAGGATTGATTATATACTTATGGCGAAGGCTGTATCTTTTTCTACGGGGAATATCACCTCCTCTCGCTACCCCCTTCCCCCCCCTTGAGATTACTTCGATATGATAGAGCTCGCAGATTTTGATTGCTTACGGAAAGCCCGTATGACGGAATCGGGACCTCGGCTACCTCGGGTTCGTTCCGGCTAATTCATCGCGAGCATCGAACGCGCATAAGTCGGTGGCCAAACTGTCCTCTACTAGGTCCATCTTACCCTTGTTATCTCATCCACCTGTCTATCCTACGCTACGATCAGTTCGGCACGTCGAGGACGCGACATCACAGTGGAATTTGTCCACGTGCGACACGTGGAACGGCGCCAGGAAGCGGCGCCGTTGCAGTGTGACGACGGTTCCACCTCGTCCCCCCTCGCCCCTCTCACTGATGGAGATGCTCTAGCCGAGTGCCGACAAATCCCGGTCAACGTCCGTCGCAGTACGATGGAGTTTACGTTGTTGCTGAAGTCCATGCTAAGTGCTTGCCAGTGTCACGCTCGCGTCATCGTGTCGTAAAATGGTAAAGTTTCCCCTTCTCTTCTTGGAAAAATTATCCTCGTCGGGAGAACAGAGATATGAACGGAGGAATTCAATCGTGTCTAGTTTTGACATTCAATTCTTCATTACGTGTTGCTGTGATTGCGATCGCTGCATATATTCTTTTGTAAAAGGAGATCACTGCATTGTGAAAATATATATTTTATTTAATTATTCCTTATGACTCGTAAACAAGAAAATAAGAAATATATCGAGGATCTTATCAGTCCATATATGTTGCTTTGAATTTGATCATTATCATTCTTTGATAGCTATGGCTGCTTTCCTTTCGGGAGATACAGTCGACATAAGTGTCATTTTATCTTCATAGAATACCAAGGAAGATAGAACAATGTTTATATTGACTGTCACTTAACGTGGAAAACATCCTTTTTTAGTTATTAAAGCATTAATGTAATTATGTATGTGCAAATATTGTAATTTTACATAATTACATTGTCATTGATTCTTATATGTGTTTTTTTATATACTTGGGTAAAATAAAATGATCTCAGCCTTCAATTTTTTATTTATATGTATACATTTGACGTTACATAACATTATTAAGATAACAATAAGTATTAAACAGTAGAATTATATGCTATTATTTATAATTTTAGGGTACAACCATATCCCAATTGGAAAGAGATATTGGTTCCGATCAGTTTCCACCTAATGAACACTATTTTGGTTTAGTCAATGTAAGTACTGTGTTATATGAAATTGATGTAGCAAAAATTTTGAATTCACTGTGTTTGTGATAAGAATATATTCTTGCAGTTTGGTAATACCTGTTATAGCAATTCAGTGCTACAAGCTTTATATTTTTGTCGACCATTTAGAGAAAAGGTTTTGGAATACAAAGCTAGAAATAAGCGAACTAAAGAAACTCTGCTAACATGTTTGGCAGACCTATTTTACAGTATTGCAACCCAAAAGAAAAAAGTAGGCTCTATAGCGCCAAAGAAATTTATCGCCAGATTAAGGAAAGAGAAAGGTGGGTATTTTAAAAGATACAGATTCGGATTTTGTAATACAGTAACATTGGATGCAATTCACTTGGCATTAAAAAACCATTTAATTGATCATTTGGAAGAAAAAATTTTACTAATTAAGAACGCTTTGAAGTGTTTGTAGCATCAAATGGGCCATACCATTGTCATAACTTCTTTTTTTCAGAGGAATTTGATAATTATATGCAACAAGATGCGCATGAGTTTTTGAACTTTCTTATAAATCACATAAATGAAATTATTTTGGGTGAGTATTTGTTTATCGCTCTTGGATGGCGCTCATAACACGATATTTACTGTCGTGATTTCACACATCAGCGGAGAGAACTCAAAGCAAGCCGACTGGAGGAAAGTGTGGGGCAGGAGATGCTGCAGGTTCGCCACCAGAGCCCACATGGGTTCATGAGATATTCCAAGGGATACTGACGTCGGAAACACGCTGCCTTAACTGTGAGACTGTCTCTAGCAAAGACGAGGACTTCTTCGATCTGCAAGTTGACGTAGATCAAAATACGTCGATCACACACTGCCTCAGATGTTTCTCCAATACAGAGACCCTGTGTAGTGACAACAAATTTAAATGCGATCACTGCAGCAGTTACCAGGAAGCTCAGGTATTAATAAAACGATATTTGATTTATCATTTATCTTTTGGATAAATCGCCTTAATCGATTATTGAAATTATATAAATTATTGAAATGTGGTCATTTTTAATTACAGAAACGAATGAGAGTGAAAAAACTACCTATGATACTAGCGTTGCATCTAAAAAGATTTAAATACGTAGAACAATACAATCGCCACATAAAAGTATCTCACAGAGTAGTTTTTCCATTGGAGCTCAGACTTTTCAATACTGTTAGTACTCATAGATATTGTTTATGAAAACATAATAAACTTTAGATAATATATTTTTCTTTCTAAATAATTTTAATTATTTCAATGATAATACTTTTAAAACTTTCAATAAATTATTTCACTGCTTAAATATAATATATAATTATGTAATTTGATTGTAGAGTGATGATGCTGTAAATCCAGATCGTTTGTATGATCTGGTGGCAGTTGTGATACATTGTGGAAGTGGGCCTAATCGAGGGCATTACATTTCTATAGTTAAAAGTCATGGATTCTGGTTGCTCTTCGACGATGATATGGTTGACGTAAGTGTTTCTGCTTTAATACCTTGCCCCGTACAAATATTTAGAAAGGATATTAATACGTATCTTTATGTCATTAGAAAATTGATGCGTCAACTATAGAAGATTTTTATGGACTCACATCAGATATTCAGAAGAGCTCTGAAACTGGTTATATCCTGTTCTACCAATCGCGAGATTGTAGTTAAAGTTTAATATGAATAGCAATTGAAGATAAGCACTCCTATACGCTAATTTCGTATTTTAACAAAGTGCGCGGTATATGTGAATTTTTGAATGTTCTAATGGTTTGTCAGATTATTTATGAGAATGATGGATATACGATGTTTGATAATGTTTTGGCTCGTAGAATATAAAAAGAGAAGCAAAAAGTAGTTCCATAATTTATCTAAATTTTTATATATAATTTTTGGTTTGTATATATAAACCAGCAGTTGGAGAAAATTGGGAAGTATTAGGCGATGCTTTATATTTATTTATGTTTAAAAGCTAGTCTGCCTTTTGAAGAGAATGAATAATTTACTTTATTACAATAACTTAAACGTGTCCATTGATATAAAGAGAAACGTTAGCACGTTCAGATTCTATACAAATGTAAAAATATGACTGAGAATAAAAATATTGTTATGAGACTGTGCATTTTGCTTATTTATCATATTAGAAGCGGCAACATAAATTTGTAGCACGAAATCAAAACCAATTGGCTTCTCTAAACAAAGTATTACCACTTTGTTCACAATAATGTTCTTAGAAAAACAATCTTATTCAATTATTCTGATTCTTAAACTGATAATATATTATGTAAGATAAATGTACCAGTTAGTGGACGTGAACCAATTGTTAAACAAAGTGATAAAACATTTCAAATATTAAGCTTTTAATAATGTGATTCTAAATTCATTATTAGAGTTTTATAAACAAATCTAGAGTTGCATATACCATTAAGTTTAATATTTAAAAATTTGTACCACTTTGTTCAACGAATTGGATCATATCCACTAATTATCCATTAACTAGTACATTTACCTTAATGTTGTGTCCAGTATGCTTGAAGAAAAAGCTAATGATAGCCACTGATTTCAATATGTTATGTAATATAATGATTAGTACAATTTTATCATAAAATTAAAATCTGTAATTGAATAAACTTTAATTATTTTAATCAAATAATTACATTTATATGTGTATTTAATTTGATGATATTTAATGTGATGTTAATTTTTGACAGTATTAAAAATAACGTAAATCTTTACTTTGAAAATTTTAGTTTATTTAATATTTTAAGCAATAAATTCATATGGAACAGGTGCAAGCAAGATAGGCGCTTCACGTCCTGACACAATGTGAGCTTTAGAAGGTTCAGCAGGCTGTCTTTTGAGTTGGACGCGAACGTTCGTCTTCTTTGCCTCCTTCCTGAGCCTCTCGTTCTCCTTAACGCGCTTAAGGAAATCATCTCTACACTTGGAATGGCTCAAGTGCTCGATGCGCACGTTAATCCTCTTGGCAATGATACGTCCACGTACTCTCTTGTTTACAATCACTCCCAGGGCATGTGCTGTCACGTTGAACACACGGCCAGTCTTGCCATGATAGACTTTGTACGGCATACCTTTTTGCACAGCACCATTTCCCTTGATGTCCACGATATCGCCGACTTTATAAGTCTTCATGTACGTAGACAGGGGAATAGTTCCATGTTTACGGAACTTGCGGGAGAACAAGTCCCTTGTACCACGTCTATAACCCTTTGAATTGGTCATGGTAATGTGTTAAACTGTAAAAAAAAGGAACAAATATGCAACCGCTGAGACAAAATCACAATATAACATGGAGGACTTAAGATTCTTTAAAAAAAAAAACATCAAATATTAATATGAAATTTGAATATAATTAAATAATTATAATATTGTAAATTCAGGCTGAAACCGAATATTTTTACTCAATTTTAATATTCTCATACGTCGTTTGCAGATCTTATTCCATATAAGAGTGGCTATTGACCTTCGTTTGAAGGATCCATAGAGAATTCTAACCTAACTCGAATGTTCCTACAATTTTTTGTGCAGCTCTAATGACAAATAACATAATATTTCATGACTTATGTGATAATTTAGGCAATGAAAAACATGATTTGTCGATAGCAAACAATATTATCAGATGAATTCCTACGTGCGACGTGTAATGTGCAAAATGCACGTGGCTTGACGCGAGTATAGAATCAACAGAGTCTGAAGTCTGAAGTTTTATATTCTCTCTAACCAAAGTAAAAGCGGTCATATAACAGCAAACAAAAGTAGATATTTATTTTCGGTACATAAAAGAAAAATATTCTAATTTGGCCTGGATTTTAAATAATTTGAAAATGTTAACAAACGTACATAGACAACTCACGTCTACTGTCGTTACCACAGAAGAAAAGATACTCTAGAGGGGCGACACAGTGCATACAATTTATGCGGAATCAACATTTCGGAACGCGCGTGACGTCACATGATCCATAAAGGTAAATTTTCACGAGCTGGGGCTCTATTCTTGAAAAAAAACGTATACGAAACTCTAGGGAAATGCTACAGTATATGTTACGTATACTATAGTATTTCCCTAGACTTTCGTATACGTTTCTTTTCAAGAATAGAGCCCCTGTTCTAACCAAAGACATATAGGCCCGTATTCAGAACGCGCTTTTATCGATAAAAGCGCATATTTATCTCTGAAATTCTATAATATACGTGACGTAAAGTATAGTATGTTAGCGTGCTAACATCATTGTAAGCGCGTTCTGAATACGGGCCAAAGCGTTTTCGGCCAGGCCAGGTTTGCACCAACCTGGGTTGTTAATGGCGTTTTGTGCTCTCCTATTGGTAAAGCGAGTGACGTCAACCAATAGGAAAGATTTATCCAACTCAGATTGGTGCAAACCCGATCGGGCCGAAAACGCTATAAGTAATGTATCAAATGTGGTCGATAATAATGAGAGAGGTCCGTGGGAGACGGCACCGACGAGACATTATTAAAGACCGTCAATCCTCGGCAAATTTTCGGCGGTATAAAAAGGGCCCCAAGGGCCCGAAGGTAATTCAAGAACGCTGACATTATCGACAATTGATATAAATTTGCTATTATTAACATAAATATTTGACTCATATATTATTAAATTCATGATTTTTTATTATAAATATACATACTTGTAAAGTTGTAATATCCTATATATTGCAAAAAAAACACAATTTTTTCTCTGCAATTATCATCTTTATTGATAATCAAACTTTGACGGGAGGATCCCGTTTGCCTACAGTTCTGATTGTATACACCACTCATATCAACTGGTGCCTAGTAATTTTTTACTGTTTTGCCAATGAGATAATTTTATTTTTAAATTGGCCAATCAGCGATACATGTGTGCAATAGCCCTCCCGCGAACTTCCGTAAGGATGTCGGTCTTTAATAGTATCTCGTCGGTGGAGACGGCCAATCCCCCTCTCATTCTCTCTCCCATTACACCATTGAATGGAAAGAGAAATGGCCGTCTGTCACGGTCCTTCTCTCTCATTCCTATCGATCATTTTGACACACGGATCGAGCAGTCCATTCTCTATATTTTTGGAAATATCCATCAGAGCATCACTCCCATCAGAGAGAAACCTGAGAGCGGCCATCCCGGCCTTTTTTCTGTAATGCTTCTAACTCCCTGTACACTAACGACACCAACGTCCATTTTCGAGCTGCGAGAACTACGTACCACGTCCATTTTCGAGATCCCCCTGTCTTACCGATAAAATCGTATCGTCGAAAGTGGACGTGATACACCACAAATTATAGATGCGAAGAAAAAACTATTTTTCAACATTACATTGATAAATAAATTTACATTATGATGCTACAGCTACGAATTGCAGATAAAGATAATATTATACATATATGTGTATTTATTATTATTAGAGGAGTTAGAAGCATTACAGAAAAAAGGGATGGCCGTTTTCAGGTTTCTCTCTGTTAATATGTAAGTGGTCAGTCAGGTCATATAAACAAATGTATATTTACTAATTGATATTCAACATTTCTTACAAGGGAAGTTTCACAACTGTCCGGAACCTATTTGATTCTCCATAAAATATGTTGTTAAATACGAAAATCTAAGAGACGTATTTTTTTATACATGCCCTAACTCATATTTAAGGGGTTAAACACCTCTTTCAAAAAAACGGTATTTTTCTTTCGAGGCGAATATCGTCGGAAGTATAAAATCTAAAATAAGCGCAGTGACTTCCACGAGCAAGAGACGTCCTATATTTATTTTTACTATTTCACCAGACTGATTCTTTTCCACGCAGTAATATCTGTCATAAAATTCCGTAAATGCGTATGGAACTCGTAATAAAACTCGCACAGCAGATTCAAGTATAGGTCTTTGGTAATGCCAAGAATTACATCAGGAAATTTTAACAATACTATGGTCAGTTTCCATTCTTTTTCGTGCTCTAATGAGATCGGAACTTCTTGTAAGCGTTGTCGCAACTCGTCCTTCGCAATGTTCGCCGTTCTGGCTCTGGTGATAGAACGAATTCGAGTTAAGTTAAAGCATGGAATACAGTAAGTAAACGGCTGTATTGCCTTTATCTTCTAACATTTTATCAAATGAAAATACATACTCGTCATTTCTATCATGTAGTAAATCGGCTTATTTTATGCAACCGTATGCCACGGATTCTTGGGCTGCCTTTAGCTTTTCTTGCGACAATACTTTGTCGCGTTCTTTCTCTTTCAGTTTCTGCAATGCTCTCTTCAAACCTAAAGTACACATAAATTTACAAAAATACAATTAAATTTGTAAAAATAAAATAAAAGTATCAAACTAACAATTAAGATCGCTTTGTTATCTTCGTCTAAATAATTCGCTAAGGCTCACAGTGTCACCGGATTTGGTTAAAAATTTTTGTTGTCTTAACTTGAGATAACACAAATTACGTTTTTTTATGCAAATTTTTAGCCCGTTTTTACCAAACATAATTACTAGTATGTAAATATATTCCAAAATCTCTATAATCATTATTCACTAGCAATTATAGTCTTCGAATAGATTTCAAACTTTTCAATCACATATCGTTGAATTAAGATTTAATTTAGTAAAAACGTGCTAGAGAGGCCCTCCACCACCCCCGCCGATTTTATCGGTGGTCCTCTTTTCTTTGTAAGTATACTCACCCTTAAAAAAACAAGCTATTACTAAATTTAGTAGTCTGTTTTTGCAGGTAAGTATATTTTTAATTAATTTTTTTATTTTTATTTGTTTGTATTTTTCGATAATCATAATACAATAATTTTTTTTATATTATCTTTTATTGTAATAAACTTATACAATTCAATATTACAATTATAATAATTGTTGAGAATACAATGTACAATTATAAATGCTGTTCAAATTATAATAAAAATGATAATATAGGAGTATAATTAACAAATTTTAACAATGAGGGATTATACGAAAATACATACAATAACATAAATTTTTTTAAACTAATAATTTAATAAACATAACTTATTAATATGGCGATAAAAAGTCATTAATATATTTACGACAGCACTTTCATCGCTTTCAACTATCGCAATAAATTGATCATGTCAAGATCCCTCCGCCCTGTGGTACGCGGGTTAGTATTCGATGCAAAGAAAAGAACAATCTTCATAGTGGAGAGCAAACTCAATGGCTGCGTTCAGCAGAGAAAGCAGCTTTGCAACTATTGTAAAATTCTTCAATATGATTGGTCTTACCCTTAGTTCCTCATTGGATTTAAATGTACAAACCAATCATATTCAAGAATTTTACAACAGTTGCAAAGCTGCTTTTTCTGCTGAACGCAGCCAATGTATTCCGATTCCGAGTCAAATTCACAAGATCCATTTGCAAAGAAAAGTTAAGCACCCGTCAAATACTAGTAATCTTGTTATAGGAGGGTGTGCATTCCGAATGTTTTTCAGACTACTTACGATAGTAATAATTTGAGTAATATGTCAATTGCAATTACTATTTTTATTGCATCTTTAATATAATACTAAATTTTGCGAGAAAATATGTTCTTCCATACATCACTAAAAATCATCTCTTATTAAAAACAAATTGATAGAGTGATTTTTTTACGGAATAGTGGTTACGAAGGAATATATTTAATAATAATAAAATACATGCGTTACTGTAATTTTTTATACGTATGGATACAAGTTTCTCGGGTACCAACTGTTCGAGATAAGCCGAACCCGATAAGAACGGGATTTTAAAGAACTGTACTTTTATACCAAAAAAATTATTATATAAAATTTAACAATTTTTATTTTTCCATATATTTTTCAAAAATTTTAATTATTAATATCCCGTTAATATGAGGGTACCCATTGAACTTATCTCGAATTTTTTGTACCCACACATATTTAATTAAATTCATATAATCACGATAACATTGTTAAAAAAATATGAAATATTTTATAGTAAAAATTATCTAAGTCGACAAAGACAAAAATTTGTTAAATATGATCTCATAATATCTACATGTATTTTATCATAAAAAATATACATATAAATTAATAATAAATAATTTTCTGGAATGGCGGGATGTCCAATATCTAAAAATGATTTTAAAAATAACAGTTAGAAAATTAAATATACACATTCGTAACCACATTTTTGTTAGAGCAATCATCGAAAAATAAGCAAATTGTTTGTATAAAAATTAAATTTATTTACTTAATAATTTGGATTTAAACAAGTAATCATTATATGCATATATCTATATTAATCATATATAATAAATTCTATTTATTATTAAGACTGTTACTAACATTATTATTAGTGGGAGAACATTTGATAAAACAAAAAATGCGACAAAAATTGTATGCTAAAATATACCACTGAATTATAATTTCGCAACTTGGCTTTAAAATATATAGCAATTATATCATTGATTCATTGACAAAATTATTACTTCCAGAAACTGCAAACGAGAAAACTCGGGATTAATTCTGATTCTGTATAAGAATCTCCGGACACCAAACTAGACTTTGCGAATGGACTTTACGAAAAGCGACGAGGAGTAACTCTCCATAATGAAAATAATTTCGACTTTCCATCGGTACAAAGCA